GGCAATAGAGGCTGAAGTCAAAAAACTGATCGATTTAGGCTTTGTCAGAGAAGAACAACACCCTGATTGGTTGGCCAATATCGTTCCAGTCCTTAAAAAGAATGAAAAAATCAGAATCTGTATTGACTTCAGAGATCTGAATACCGTCTGTCCTAAAGACGACTTCCCCCTACCAATTACGGATGTCATCATTGACAACACATGCGGGTTTGAGAGAATGTCATTTATGGATGGATTTTCGGGGTATAATCAGATCAAGATGCACCCAGACGATGAAAAGCATACAACATTCAGAACACCCCTTGGTGTCTTTTGTTATACTGTTATGCCTTTTGTTTTGAAGAACGCCGGTGCTACGTATCAACGAGCAATAATGAAGATCTTTCAAGAGCATCTTCGGAAGACCGTCGAATGTTATGTTGATGACCTGTTCGTTAAGAGTCGTGATAAAAGCGACCACAATAATGATTTGAAGACGATGTTCGACCTTATAAGGACTCATCAGTTAAAGATGAACCTGACTAAGTCCTTTCTTGGAATGTCCAGCGGTAAATTTCTTAGGTTCGTCGTCACCACAAAAAGTATTCATATCGATCCTAATAAGGTGAAAGTAATACATGAACTACAACCCCCGAGAAATCTTAAAGAACTCAGAGGGTTGCAAGGTCGATTGGCATATATCCGTCGGTTTATATCAAATCTGTCCGAAAAATATCGACCATTCTCTAAACTCACAAAGAAAGGTGTGTCGTTCATTTAGGATGAAGCATGTCAGAAGACATTCGAAGATATTAAAACATATCTGGCAAATCCACCTATCTTCGTTGCACCGAAATCGGGCAGACCATTTTTGATTTACGTCAAAGCGACGAGCCATTCATTAAGTGCATTGCTCGCACAAGACGACGATAACGGTCACAAACAAGCAGTGTATTATCTGAGTAGCACATTGGTAGGAGCTGAATCTCGTTATCCGATGATCGAGAAAGAATGTCTCGCCCTAGTATTTGCAATCCAGAAAATGCAACATTATTTAGTTGGACAGACAATTTATGTCATTTCCAACATAAATCCAATCCGAGTATTCATGACCCAACTAACCTCCATGAATTAGCGTTTAGCCAGGTAAGCTCTACTTTTATCGCAATATGATTTGTATTTCAAGCAACAAAAATCAGTTAAGGGGCAAGCTATCTGCGATCTTTTGGCGGAAAACCCTACAAAAGATATAGCCGAGTTGTACGACGATCTATCGGACGAAACTCACGAAGTTAATATCACCTCACATCAGCAAGTATGGCAATTATACTTCGATGGGGCTTCCCGAGCAACCAACATAGCAAGCACACCCGGATGTTCTAAAATTTCCTCATGAGTGGGGGTCGTTTTAGTTTCCCCGGAAAAACATGTCTTGCCTAGAGCATATTCGCTGACCAAACCATGCTCTAATAACATGGCCGAGTACAATGCATTAACAATTGGACTTAATTTTGCCAAAGAGCTGGGGGTTGAATACCTTGAAGCTTTTGGGGATTCTCAATTGGTAGTTAATCAGATACGATGAGAGTATGAAGTTAGAAATCGGGATCTGATTCCATACCACCAGGTAGCCATCGAGATGGCAAGCTCGTTTGAAGAATTTTCATTGAGTACGTTCTACGTCTCCAAAATGCATATGCAGACGCCTTGGCGGCATTGTCGGTATCTTTGGCTCAACCTCCCAAAACAGAGCAATTAATTACAGTAAGAACTCATTAGCTTATTGTTCCAATCTACGATTCGATTGCTAAAGAAGCACACTCAATAAGAGTTGAACCTGAAGTGCGAGATTGGCATTTTCCTATTATCGATTATGTCCTACATGGTATCTTACCGGAAGACGTAAGAGAAAGGGATTCGATTCGACGAAGAGCACCAAGATTTTACTACAACACTGCAGCACAAATGCTGTATCAACGGTCGTACGATGGTCTATTACTCTGTTGTTTATCCAGTAAGGAAGCGGAACAAGCACTCAAAGAGGCGCATGATGGGACCTGCGGTGCACATCAGCCCGGTCCTAAACTCTACGACCGACTTAGGAGAATTAGATATTACTGGCTAACTATGGTAAAGGATGCAGTCGACTACGCCCGACGATGTCAAGTATGTTAATTACATGCAAATTATATGCACCAGCCTCCCGAACATTTACACCCATCAGCGACATCGTGGCCATTCGAAACATGGGGAATGGACATTGTGGGTCCTATTTTTCCGCCTTCGGTTAAAGAGGACCATTTCATTCCGGCAATCATCGATTATTTCTCGAAATGGGCAGAAGCAGTTCCACTTAGAGAAGTAAAGACGAGTGATGTTATCAAATTCATTAAACATCATATCATATATCGGTATGGTGTTCCAAGGTGAATAGTGCATGATAATGGTCCTCAATTCGTTAGCAATGCGTTTATCAAAATTTGCGACAAATTTAGGATTAAGGATGTTTCATCAACTGCTTATAATTCCACAGCTAACGGATTGGCCGAAGATTTTAACAAGACCATTATCAAGATTTTAGCAAAACTGGTGAAAACCAATAAGCGAGATTGGGACGACAAACTCGGCGAAGCCCTCTGGGCTTATCGTACGACTGTCCGCACGCCAACGGGAGCAACCCCATACTCCTTAACATATGGATGCGAAGCTGTCCTACCTTTAGAAATACAAATTCCCTCTCTCCGCATCACTCTCGCAACGGGAATGACGACGGAAGAAAATCACCAGAAACATCTCGAAGAATTAGAGATGTTAGATGAAAAACGCTTGGAAGCTCAACAACAAATCGAATTTTATCAGGCTAGAATTTCCCGGGCTTTTGATAAAAAGGTCCGACAACGAAGTTTTAAAGAAGGAGATCTGGTTCTTGCTGTTCGAATGCCTATGATTCTCAATTCTAAGAAGAAAGGAAAATTCCAACCCAAATGGGAAGGCCCGTTTGTAATAGAAACGGTCTATTCAAATGATGTGTATCGCCTGATTACCCAGAATGGTAGCAAATTAATGATGCCAATAAATGGGAAGTTCCTAAAAAAATATTATCCGTAATAGGATCGGGATAACCTATGCAAAACGGAAAGTTCCTAGAGAATCCTGTATAGGATATTTCGGGATAACCCGAGATCAGTTGATTGTTCTAAATACAAAACTGATCATTTGAATAATCCACTTTTGATTATCATAAAATAATTAAGATTCTTTTACAGTTTTGTTGAGATGAGATTCAATGACAGAAAACAGTTAATATTTCCTCACAAAACCCCTCACCGATCAAATTAATCAACGGTGGGTCCATCAAAATCCTTTAAACTTCTGTTGTATCTGTTTTCTAATATTCCCAATGCTGAAATTATGATACAACGTCAAAAATTTTAGGTTATCGGTCCATATCAGTCGCCGAACCATTTCGTGTCAAATTCTTGTGTTTGACATCCAAACTTCCCACTGAGTAGTTTCATATCAGTCGCCGAACCATTTCGTGTCAAATTCTTGTGTTTGACATCCAAACTTCCCACTGAGTAGTTTGTACAAGTCAACAAACTCATTGTAATTCTTGTGTTTGACATCCAAACTTCCCACTGAGTAGTTTGTACAAGTCAACAAACTCATTGTTATTTGTACCACACTCCCATTCCTTACCTGGTTAAACTCTCCTATAGTTAGGACCAAAACCAAAATCCTCTCTCAATTCCTTCAATGAATAAGAGGTCCACAAATCGAGCGATCAAACCTTCCTACAGTTAGGATCGTCTCAAAACTCCCACTTGGTCAAACATTAATATAGTTAGGACCACAACCAAAATCTCCTTTCGATTCAGTTCGCGAATGAGAGGTCTACTTTTGAATTGAATAATCAAACCTTATGACAGTCAGGATTATTTAAACCAGTCCAAATCTCTAAGCAGGGATCCCCCTTCGAGTTTCCCTCGTATTAGGAGATAGAATATAAAATTCTTCCTCTCTGTTTTTGGGTTTATCTCTACCAACAAACAAGAGACCAGGAGATAAAATATAAAATTCTTCCTCTCCGATTGTGGGTTTGTCTCTACTAACAAATAAGAGACTAGGAGATAGAATATAAAATTTTTTCTCTCCGATTTTGGGTTTATCTCTACCAACAAATAAGAGACCAGGAGATAGAATATAAAATTCTTCCTCTATCTCTACCAACAAATAAGAGACCAGGAGATAGAATATAAAATTCTTCCTCTCCGATTTTGGGTTTATCTCTACCAACAAACAAGAGACCAGGAGATAGAATTCTTTTTCTCCGATTTTGGGTTTATCTCTACCAACAAATAAGAGACCAGGGAGATAGAATATAAAATTCTTCCTCTCCGATTTTGGGTTTATCTCTACCAACAAACAAGAGACCATGATATAGAATATAAAATTCTTCCTCTCCGATTGTGGGTTTATCTCTACCAACAAATAAGAGACCAGGAGATAGAATATAAAAATTTTCCTCTCTGATTTTGGGTTTATCTCCACCAACAAACAAGAGACCAGGAGATAGAATATAAAATTCTTCCTCTTCGATTTTGGGTTCATCTCTACCAACAAACAAGAGACGCATGGGGGATGTTATCTCTATCCCTTACTAGAGATAAGCCTACATCTAACACTTGTAGCCTACATATTCAATATTATAGTTTAAAGTCTAAAAAAGTTTAATTCTTTTAGCCCAACGTTATATGTGAAACGGATTTAGATAATTCACATACTAGCCCGATTCAAACGGTAGTCGGTAAAGACATATCAAATCCGTTGATGGCTGAGGATTTGCCAAAAATCCTATAAGTATTATGGTTATTTATTCTAAACGAGAATGAGTAATCATAATAAAATCTCAATGAGCAAAAGAGTTCACTATATTGACCAAAAGCGTTCAAACAAAACCACATAAAAAATATATGTTCTCAAAATTACAATAGTTTATAATGACGGATTTGATCCTCTAATTAGGACAGTTCTGTCACATAAGCCAGTTCAAGCTCAGGTACCAAATTAGCTTTAAAGCTTTCTTCATCAACGCTTTGAATTCTGGCGACTTCTTGTTCCTTTTCAGCAAGTATCTTATCCTGAAGATTCAGTTGCTGAAACAAGTTTTCTTCAGTTTGAGTTATCTCTGCCAAACCAGACTCCAAAATTTCATGAGCATCCTTGGCCTTTACAAGTTGCTCTTCTAAGCGGTCTATCTCAGCTCGACTCGACTCTAAGTCCCGGTGCAGGTCGACCTTGGCTTGTGTTCTTTTGGCAACACTCACCCTAAGTTGATTACTGCGGGCTCTTAGCTTTTGGAGTTCGAATTCAGCTGATTTTTAAGAATCACGCCACGCTTGCAACCTGAAGTCCATGTGAGAAGCAATATAGGAGGGTAAGCCTTTGGTGCGGAGATCCTTCAGAAATTCAGCATGTTGCTTCAAGTCGGCCAAATAAGCGTTGATCGAATTGGCTAATTCATTATATCTTTCCTCTCTGATTTCTGATATGTAGCGATCAAGAGGTCTCTTAAAATTCTCAAAATACGATCCTTTGAAGAGAATGTGATCGACCATAGCGTTCAAAAAGGAGATGAAGCCTTGGAGATCAGAGCAAATGACAGCCTTATCCGGATCCTCGTCTGCTAATAAAGCTTGGATATGATTTTATAATGATGAAGAAGGAGCTGCGATGAGGACAAATAAGTCAGTACAGAACATATATGTGCATACATAACAACGGATGGAAGTATACCAAGCTTAACAAAAAATTCTATGACTTAACTACCTTGACTTGTCAATTCTGGAGTAGGCTCTACAACCGCTGGAGTTGGTTCAGGAATGATACTTGTTGACGCACCCGCTACATCAGATGATTTTTCAATTAAAACCTCAGAGAACTTCGGGTCCAAGTTAATAGGCCTCTTGGGAGAGGATTCTGCAAGCAAGAGAATCACAATGAGTGTAATGGAATGTTAATCAGAAATTTAAAACAAATGATGGATAAAACTCACCAACTCTAGGCACAACATCTGCCGACACAGCGACTTCTTCAGTTGGTCTCGCTTTTGTTGTGACAGGACTAATTTGGGGGGTGACAGTAATTTCTATCATCATAGGATCCACAGGAGTAGCAGGTTGGGATTCAGGAATAGATGATTGAAAATCGACTTCAGTTCCTACCCATGACGAGTGGTCATGACCTTCAGGTTGATCAGAAGTTCCGGTGATTGTAGCTGTATCAGTTCCAACAACTGGTCCTATAATTCGAATGCTTATATGATTACTCAAAAAATGAAGTTAAAAAAACGGAGTTTACAGAACAAAGGCCTTACTCTTAGAAGGACCCGCTTCTATGGAACCAACTCCAACAATTGATCCTGTAGCTGCACCAGAAGCTTTCCCCGACAACAAATCGGAGATATGCTAATGGTCGTCCTCTGAGATATCAAGATTAAAGTTGAAATCATTAAAATCCTCGACTTTAGTGGCATGGGTAGTTTCTCCTTCAGTTGATTCATTCATTATAGCATCTACATAATGTATTGAGTCATAAATAACATATAAATTTAGATGAAGTTACTCAAAACAAAGATTAATTTTACCTTCGTTATCCGAGACGGATTCGAGGACTCCACTACTTGCACCCGCTTCTTTTAGTTTGACTAAAAGGAGACAAAGTGCACAAGTCATTAGAGGAGGCACGCATTCCGACTCATTCATTTTTTGGAATTGTCTTCCGAATGGAGAAAGATCCATACCTGTGTTTGAAGCCTAGGGATCAATGTCAGAAGTTGTTGGAATACCAGCAGTTTCATCTTTCAGAGTATCCTGCATTTGTTGGACAAAGCTGGACTCCTCAGCCTCCATACCGCCAGGAGAAGCAATTTCAACTTGAAATTCTCCCTCTTCTTGACTCCCTACAGAAGTTGAGTATGAAATAAGTCTGAGCGTTAAGAAGTATAAGAGCAATAAAGACGGATTGTTACCTTGTTCATCTGAAGAAACACTGCGGGCAGATGTCTCCTCTAAAGCGGGAAGACGAACACGTGGCTTAGAAGCGGCATTCTTTCGTCTTTTTAATAGATGTGATTCATGTTGAACCCCAGATCCTTCGTAACAATGTTTGGTGCGTAATTCAGCTCTGAGAAGGACTTGGGCTTGAGTTTGAATGGAAGATTGTGATCTTTGCCGACGAGCAAGAGGCACTGTATCTTCTTCCTCCTCTTCATCTCCACTGAGGACCTCTACCGTCATCCTATTGGGATAAGTCATAATGACTCTCTCCCTCCTTCTTTTCGGAGCATCTTGCGGTTGGGCAAGAGCAACATAGTGAGCCCTGCGAGCAACGGAAGGGTTTATAAGTCCTCTCTCAAAGAAAGAATCGGGGAGACTAACTGTTTCCCCTTCATTCTTCTGTTCAACCTCTGCTTCTGTTTCCCCAGAACTTGAACCAGTCTCACCCACCCCCTCAGAAGTTTCTGTTTCATCAGAATCAAACTCTTCTTCACTATCAGTTGGGTGGGCCGGTTCCTTCCCCTTTCTGGACGATTCGGCAACCTCTTTCCTTCGAGGTGATAACATAGTTTCACGGGTCACTTCTGTTGTGCACCGCGGGGCTCCCTCTTCTTCTGAATCCGATATCCTTCTATTCTGAGTTACGATATCGGCAACTATCAGCCACTTACAATAGAGGAAGGTCATTCGTAGAGGCAACACTTCCAAGGGGAGATCGAACTCAACATTTGTACATCTGGCAATGCTCCAAAACCAAGCTCTCGCCCCATCGATAAGTCCACCTCGAACGCTAAGTTGACGGTTCGGGTTGCTGACATACAGTTAATCATAGCCGAGTTGGCGAGCAAATCGACATGGAAAATAAGGTTCGATATGACAAACATCTTTCACCCTGAACACTAGATAACCAGGTCGAATGTTCACCAGCCATCTGAAACACCCGACATCCAAAATGGTGCGATTCTGCCTTGGTTCTTCAGCATCCAATAAGGTTGTATTGTACGTACTGGAGAAGTGAGGGAAGCAGGGAAAGAACTCCCAACATTTGTGAATTTTGAATTGCCTCGTTATATCCATCCACCGATGTTTGACCCATTTACAACCCTCATGGGTTTGCAGTAAAGGGAGGCTGGGATCCACTGTCTCAGGAGCTTCCATTAAATCTGGTCGGTGAAGTACCAACCAGGTCATCAAATAAGTATAGGGTAGTTCCAGCTTCGGAACTGATACGTTGGCGGAAGGTTTCTTTCCCTCTTGAGTAAACACGGAAACTAATTGCCGTAACCCACTATGAATAGCGGCCACCATGGCAGGAAGCAAGGAAAATTTGCGACCTGTAACTAAATAGACGGATGGATACAACACTTCAATCGGCATAGCATCAGAGGGTTGATGGGGAACAACACACCTTTTCAGCCATAAAGCCAGAAAGCCGGCCAGCAGGGTAGTAGGATGGATCGGAACACCAGCTTGCCACAGATAAGAACAAAATTTAGTACCATGAGGAAATCCGTCTTCCGAGTGAGAGGTATAAGATTGTGTGTTCGTTTTCCCTAATAGCCGGTTGATCTCATTCGGAGTCAAAGGAGATAATCCGCATACGTCTTTCGAACGATTATCAAGGTTCTTGAACAAATAATCGGCGAATTGTTTCAAGCTAATTTGGGGAGATTTCTTCTTAGCTCTAGTCTCCATCTCAGCCATAGCTATATGATAATGACAAGTCAGTTCCCATAAAGTGTCGTGGGTCACAGTTGACCGATCTTTCATCTTATTCAACTGACTGGCGGTTGGGAAGAATTCTTGATACGGGACATCACCTATAGGCAAACCAGACACCTTCATCATTTCATGTAATGGTAACCCGAGCTCCCCATTCTTGGTGAAGAATGTATTGGTGTCAGGGTTATAGATCTCGAACAAACAGAGGAAATGACCTACACTGATCTACAAATCATACATACTGGCACGGATCGGGACTGACAACCCTAATTCTGCCAATTCTCGCCCCCAGCGGTTCAATACATATCGGGTCATTCTAGTCCACCACTTGTCTCCAAAATAATGGACCCATCCATAACATCTGAAGTTCTGGTTGGGTAGTTTCTTTCCCACTACAGTTAACCGATTCTTCACGGTGTTTGCATGTGCTGCCTTTTCATTCTGGGGTATATTATCTTGGCCTAAGACACCCGGATGAAGTCCTCGCACAGAAGCCCTGTCACTGGAACCCGGGGTGGCTTCCTTCCTAATAAAATCACAGTGAATACGCTCGTGGTTTTCGGTCAATCTCCAGAACATTTTGTTGGCCTTCTTGTTTTGATGATGATTTACAAATAATTTACTACTAATGTTGTTTGTCTAGTGTTTGTGTATTCCTAGGTATTGTAGACAAACAACGTAGTTGGAGATTGGATGGATTGAGCCTACAGAATCATATCAAGAGGAGGTTGGCAGAATTGTGGAGTGAAGCATCGTACAATTCAAGTTCAAGATCCAAGTTTAGCTTCATCCGCAATGTGTACCAAGTTGAGCTCAATGAAGATCAAGATCAAGCTTGGGTAATTTAGGTTAGGTTTTATATTATGTGTGTTAAGTACGTTAAGCTCAATATCTATACACACACATTTATTGGTTTCTTCGTATATATATAAATAGTTATATATATATACATAAGTTTTGGTTTCTATACATATATATAGTTATATATATGCATACATAGTTTTTTGAGTTTTCATGTTTATAATATGAAATCACATATTTCATATTTACTATTGTGTTTTTGAAAACATTGCATAGAATATGCAATTTTGTGAAAATATTGTATTCTTAGTTTGTAGACTTGAATATCAGTTTATACATGTTTTACTAAGTCTATAAAAACATTTCACAAAGTTTCAAAAGTTGGTTTATGTCAAAACATCAAAATTCAAGTATCTCATATTTTCATGTTTTGGACTATTTTGTAAAATGATAATATTTTTCATTTGGGAAGTCCTTTCTGATAACCAGTCACTGTAGCATGTTTATTATCATGTCTACAATCATTCCCCAAAGTTTTACATTTTTTGGAATTTACTTGATATTTTTAAACAGTGTTTTAAATCAGCATGTCAGTTTTCTGCTGTGTCAGTTTTCGGTCGACCGCACCGGTCGACCGATCATTTGGTCAAAAGTTCACTGGGCTGACAGATAGCTGTCGGTCGACCGGTCCGGTCGACCGATGAAAATTTTCGGTCGACCGATGAATTTTTTAAACAAGGGTTTTAAAAAGAGTTTAAGCTTGTTTAAGCTTGTTTAAGGGTTTAGTTTAAAGCAGTTTTAGCTTTCTCAAGTGGAGGAGATTATCTTCTCGTTTGGGCCTCAAATCTCCATCTCTCCATCTTGATCTAGAGAAGTTTTCCTAAACTCAACTCTAGCTTTCACTTATAATTATTTGTTAATTATCATTTCTATTAAAGCTAGTTTTATATTTGAGTTTAGTTGATTTGATTTTATTTACTCATTGTTACACACACCCACTTTGAGCTTATTGTATTTGCATACATAGTATATTAGGGTTGTGAGAAATTGTAACATTGAGTTGTGCTTAATTGAGTTCTCATCTATTGTAGAGAACAAATTTATATTTGTTACATTATGAGTGTAGTAAGGTTTTCGGTGAGCTAGAAAACCAAGAGTGTGTTGTGAAGTTTTCGGTGAACTAGAAAACCGATTGTGAGGAGTGACGTTGATCGATGAGCGTTGAAAACCGATACTGTGAGGTATAAACGTTATTCGGGTGAACGTAGAAAACCCGGTTGTGATAGTGGATTTCTCCCCGGGAGTGGGGAGCAGAGACATAGGACGGATGGTCCGAACTCCGTGATCATATTGCTTGTTTGAGTTTGTCTTTGGCGTATTTGTTTTTGCATTTATCTTATATCGCCAATTGTGCATTACTCATTTATTTCATCCACTATCTTGTTTAGATTATTTACCCTTGTGTTGTTTATATATCCTTGCATATATCTCTATCATATAGGATATATCTCATTGTTCATATTGCTTATCCTAGCTTATATTCTTGTTATATTTCATACTTGCTAGGATAACTTATTAATTAGTTTTAATTGGCATTTAATCGGATTAGATTAGCATAAGACCCTAATCACCCCCCCTAGGGTCTAACACATTTCACGTCCAACTGACAAGTTTCTGAACTTTAAAAGTGAATGCTCCCAAGGAATCCAGGGCAGATACATGAATAATGACCCGCTCTCATATAACCACTGCGCAGGGCTGCAAGAAACGATCTCCGGATCTCTTACAGAGTCACCAAACAAGAAATCTGGCTTCCTTATGCACTGGTTCGAGTCTTGCTCTGAAATTAAAGTTGCGTCCGTGATTAACCGTCGCAGAATATGACAACTACCTCGTTGAATCAACTCTCTAACTCCTTCGCTGTAGTCTGGCTTGAATTAGGGAGCTGATTCAATTAACGGAATCCCCTCATAATAGGAGTGGGTAGCACTACTTTAGCCCATAACCTCATCAGCAGTGAAGATTGCAGAAGGAAAATGGACTGATAAAGAAGACGTAAACATAAATTGTGTAAGAATAGTCCTAAAATTTTAGAGAAGGCGGTATATCTTACTCCATAAGATATAATCGCCACCTCATAACAGGTGCGACGATTTTCCATCTATCACATGTATAAAAGAGATATACGTTACTATGCACGAGCATTATAACGACATATCAAAACCTTTCAACACACGTGGGATGATACGAAATCGCCCCTGTATATTCTGAAGTGTGTTTTGTCCAAGCAAAACAAACACTTTCTAGCGTCGATCCCCTCAAAGGAGGATACCGGCTCTTCTCGAATGTATCTCAAAGGATGACAAACGAGGGTTTACATACAAATACGGATATATACGTATGAAATTGACAAGATATGGTGTTTAAATTCGTGAAAGGGTGAAAGAAGTGTACCCCCATGCGAAGTAGCAACGGGATCAGCCCCCTCAGTAGTCTGAATAGTCGGACGACCCCGAGGAACTCGAGATCTACACGGTGACATGATGAAAATATGATCTACATTGAAATCCAACGAGAAAGTTAGGGTTTTGAGCGTGGAATTGACAAAAATATCACAAAATATAGTTGAAATACGCATGCATGGGGAAGAATCAAAGAAAATCAAAATTTTGAAAGGGAGAGGGAGAACATACCTTCAATCTTCAAGTGAAATCCCTCAGAATGAGAACCCTACTCAATTCAAAGACGAAGAGGAGAAGAAGAGGCAGAGAACTGGTCGAAAATCTCTGGAAATCGCCCAAGAATCGCCCAAAAATTCGACGTGAAAAAACCCTTCGAAAACCCTAAATCGGGGTTTTATATCCCCGACTTCGCCGTGCGAGACAGCATATACTGTCTCGCACTATGAGACAGTATAAGCTATCTCGTATCGCGAGACAGTGACGACTATTTTAGGTGTAATAGCCGATGTCGTGGTGTTTCGATGAAGTCACCTCGACCCACGTATAATACGCGTGAATACTCCAATATGTACACGAGTCTAAACTGTTTTCCTACCCTCAATAGGAAGTTTCTGGAGAATATCATTCAGAATATTCTTAAGAATAACCTGACTACCTCCTAATAGGTACACGAGGCTAAACTGGTTCCTGAATACTTCGACA